GGAATGAGAATGGTCCCATTTTCCAAGCGCCAAGCACCCAGTGGCTCCTATTGTTGTGGTGTAACAGAGAACCAGCTGTCCTCCGAGGGACCACACAGATGACACAGTGACGGATACTTGGCCACCTTATATTACTGCCCAAGGAGGAACTGAGCTTTTGAAAAAAAAACCCAGCAACAGCTGCATTTGCTGCAGCCTTCTGGAAAAAAACTGGCCTTAAAAGTGCTTTAAAAAAAACAACGGGGTGGGGGGCACAGATCCAAGCACCTACTCTGAAAAATGTCAGGGGTGACAGCTCTGAAACCAAAACACCAACTTGCATTTGGATGCTTTGCCCCAATTGAGGTGCATCTCTCGCTGCTGCGTCGCAAACCAATTTCCATCTCCATTTCGAGCAGGCTGGCCACAAGCCATTTCTGAGGAGGAAGTCATGTAGCTGTGGTTAATGATAGGCTGTGATCAAGGTGAAAGTGAGGATAATTTAACGCAAGCTTAGCACCGCACTAATGTGACTATCTATCTGCCAGTGGTTTGTAAAGACGAGCAGCAGCTCACACCTGCCAGCTCACTATCCAGGATATCTAGTCACAGGTTAATTACCGCACATGGTGCGTGGTGCAGGATCAAAGTGACAGACTTGGACCATGCCAAACTACAGTCTCTGCCTCAGTAGGTTCTCCAGATATCTCCATGCTGTTGATGTAATCACTTCATAACAAAATTTCAGTGGGTCAAGTTTCACCTAGATGACTCGGTTGCTGTTGAGGACAGCAACTGGACAAAGCAGGGACCTCTTCTCTGCTGCAAGGTCCCAGGGAGCTGTGAGGAGCATGGATGCCCTGTCCACTTCTGCATCACCAGCCTGCCTTCATGGCAGGGTTTCCAACACCCAGGTGTAGGTACACTGGGAGAGTCTGAAGAAGAGAACGAGGTCCCTTCCCCCACCTCTGCATTTCCAGCCACAGTGCTTTTTCTAAGTGCACAAAGCCCCAGACGAACACCCCTCTTGGCACACAATTCAGCCATGCAGCATTTGGGTGCATCCCAAGTCCACCCACTTCACGGCACAGGCACCAGGTTGCCATTGCGACATATTTCCACCAGGATGGGCTCACGGATGAGAACGATGCTATGTGGCTGCAACACCCCTACCCCTGCACGGGGACCAGCCCAAGCCAGCAAAAGGCCCTGGATCCTCACTCCACAGCCCTGGTCTGCTCTAACACAGCAGCACTAGTGCTTACTGCAGTCTCTGCACATGTCCAGAGATGGGATTTTTTAAGAGAGAACTGCCGATAGGAGCCTGTTACTACAGATGCTAACGTAAACCCTTCTCAGTGTACACAGCTCCACCTACAGCAACCCTCAGCCTGCAGACTTGCAAACGAGAGGTGCCCCAGTTGGGATCGCCTCATGCCCCCAGCACCGTAGGGCAGCATTTGGCCATGACACTGCCTGGGCCACATGCTCCAGCCACATCCCGAAGGAAGGCAATGCATAGTGCCCCAGGAGCTGGGACCTCCCCAAGCCTCCCTCCAACCCCCGCTTCGTTGGAAAGAAGCCTGGAGCATCCCCACCCCCCCAACCCCCCATGGGGCTGGGATGCAGCCAATGTGCGCTGGAGGCCAAGCCCTGACGGGGCACCACACACAGACCCTGCCAAGCAGTTGGGCTCGTCTCTGCTAATTGCTATCTTAGCTTCTGAACCAACACGAGGGAAACGGAGGCGGCCTTATTTCTGGAAGTGCATGCTAAATACACTGCTGCGCTTTCGCATCTGCCACCAGCAGCCGCTGCTGACAGCGGTAAGCAGTATCTCGACCAAGCTTCTGATCTACTTCTTCGCCTGAACTTCATCCCAAGCAAACTTTACCCTCTGGCAAGCCCAGCCCAGAAGAGGTACACGTACAGAGCACACACATGCATATAAGGGCATGGGGAGACGTGCAGGGGGAGGCAGCGTGCACACACGTACTCCTCTCTGCCACGCTTGCAAGCCGAGTTTCACCTGGGCAAGAGAGGAGCAATTTCACAGGAGGAACTGAAGGCCTTTCCTACAGTGAGGTGCCAGCAGCCCTGCTCTGGAAGGACTGCGACTGCTGCTGCTGCGGCCGCATGTGAGCACAAGTCAGCGGGATTCTCGCCTTCATGGCAACCTGCAGGAACATTGCCTAATTCACCGCCTGATTAAAAATAATTCACATATGGCACCAACGCAGCAGTCTGTACCCGTTACGTTAGGTACCACCATGCACAACGACCGCCGAGGTCTCCACTCCTTGTGGAAAACCACCACCAATTGCCCCCCCGTTCCCAAAAGGTGCAGCGCCTTTCCCTTTGCTTAGAGAGCCGTTTCAGGTACCAGAGCTTAGAGGAGCCTGAGCTCTTTAAGGGAAACTCCTCCCTTATTCCCATCCACCACCACAGCATCATGTCTTGCTGCAGCTACTGGCATATCCTGTCCAACCCCATCCCCCAATATGCCTGCATTACAAACAAGGCTAGAAAGGCAACAACAAAATTTAAGGACTGCACTGAAGATGAGCAGGGAAAAAAAACACCCATCACCAAACAAACAAAGAAAGGACACACACTCTCAGGTAACACCAATTTCTACTTTGCATTGAAGGTGGTTTCTTTCGACAAAGAAAAGAAAAAAGAAAAAATAATTAAACGGAGAGAGAAAAAGCTAAAATAGAAACGGGGTGAGTGGCTAGAAAACTGAGACTGGGCAAATATAACCTAACAGCAGTTGGCAGTCTTTCTGATGACTAGACGTTGAAAAGAATTCATGACTTAAATCAGGCATAGATATGATATTTCATAGGTACATAACCATTCCATGTCAAGCAAGCTTGTCTACAGCATAATAAAAGGAAATTCTAGGAAGCAAAACACAAGTTACAAACATAGACAGACATTTTGTTTACAGGTACATTTTACAAAAGAATGGTGTGAGTGTCTCTATACAGTATATATATATATATTAGCTAGCTCGAGAAATTAGATATATTTGCTTGAACAGTCTCCTTACTCACAGAGGTTACTGTAGCTCCAGCAGTTACCCATTGGTCAAAGAAATAAAATGCACAGATCATCAGTTTATCTATAGCGATATCAGCTAATTCAATTGCTGCTGTTCTAGTCAACTGGAATCAAAATAGTTTCAAATTTCCTGGCAGCTGCTGCCCTGCACTGCACACAATGATGTAAATGGATGCTTTCTGAGTATTATGAAACTGATGGGGGAACTGCAGTCTCATTCAGTCTATCGCAGGAGCTAAGGA